CCCGTTGTACATAAACTACAGGAAGATTTCTTCATTCAGAAAGTAAAAACACAGATACATTAGAGTCATGACACACTTACCTGGAATATTTTATTCACTGCTCAAAGTTTGAATGCTAGCAAACAGACCAAGGGAAGGCATGTCTGCGCTGTCACAGAGACGTGACGTAAAATCAACGTAAACACTGAAATCACAGGAAGATGTGATTCACACACCAGCTGGTTTCACACATCTTTATATGTTGTCCTCAAGGAAATACAGGAGGAGTCAGTGGTTTTTAATATAGAATCTGAAACGTGCACAAAGCAGAACAACGTGGTGTCTGTTAGTTATCCCTGATTAAACTCACTTATACCATCTCTAATTCATTTAAACTTTGCTTTCAAGCAAAAGTATTTCCTTGTGTCATCATTAAATGTATTTATAAAAGTTTTTTTAGACTTTGGCTGCATTTGTTGCATATCTATAAAGAAATTAAGGATTTGCTCAGAATTACTAGTTGAGGGATAAACATCAGATACTGAACCAGTTAGTTCTGCTGGTCATTGATTTCAATCCAGTAACTTCTGCATCAACAACTTTGTCTTATTAAAGATTCATTCAATAAGGGGCTACTTTTTAAAATGTTCTTTTTCTTTAGTTGTTTTCCTTTTTCGTGTGATTTAATTTTGTTTAAAAGTCTTTAAAATTGTAGTTTTGGAAGTAATCGGTGAGATATTTTATCTTTATCAATTGAAATCATGTGTAGGATTATGTCAAATAAAATGTGAATGAAGGGTTTAAAGTTTGTGATTTATTACTGCCCTCTTGTGGTGATTTTCAAGTACAACAGGAAATTAGTATATAGTAACAGGAAACTGGGGCTGCGCAGTGGTTAGAGCTGTTGCCTTGCAGCAAGAAGGTCCAGGGTGCGCTTCCCTGTGCATGCGTGGGTTCTCTCCGGGTACTCCGGCTTCCTCCCACAGTCCAAAAACATGACTGTTAGGTTGATTGGTCTGTCTAAATTGTCCTTAGGTGTGTGTGTGTGTGTGTGTGTGTGTGTGTGTGTGTGTGTGTGTGTGTGTGTGTGTGTGTGTGTGTGTGTGTGTGTGTGTGTGTGTGTGTGTGTGTGTGTGTGTGTGTGTGTGTGTGTTGCCCTGAGATGGTCTGGCTCTCTGTCCAGGGTGTACCCCACCTGATTGCCCATTGACTGCTGGAGATAGGCACCAGCCCCCCCGCGACCCTACGTGGACAAGTGGGTTCAGACAATGGACGGCTGGATGGATAACAGGAAGCTGGTGCCATCTCCAGCAGCCAGCAGAATACGTGCAGAAAGCCCAAATCATGCATAAGGGAGAACATGCTAACTCCATACAGAAACGTCACAACCAGGCTTTAAAGTCACTGATTGCTCCTCCTCTGTTTCTCCTTCCCTGCAGGTCAAGTCTGGGTGTCATCCTTGACACCACTCTTTCATTTCAATCCCACATCAGTAACATCACTCGGTATGCCTACTTTCACCTGCACAATATTCATCACCTGCGCCCCTCTCTCACCCACCACTCTGCTTCCATATTTGTTCACAGGCTTGTCGCCACAAGAATCGACTACTGCAATTCACTCCTATTTGGTTTACTCCAAAAGTCCATCCATAAGCTCCAACTGGTCCAGAATTCTGCTGCACGCATCATTTCTAAAACCCCTGTGAGTCACCATATCAGCTCTGTCCTGCAACAGCTTCACTAGCTACCTGTTAGACAACGCATAGGTTTCAAAATCCTTCTCCTCACATTTAAAGCTATCCATGACCTTTCTCCCCATACCTGCCTGACCTCATTCACATAATCTCTCCCATCCGTTCCCTCAGATCATCATCCTCGATCACTCTCTCTGTCCCTTTCCGTCTCAGCACTATGGGGAGCAGAGCCTTCAGCAGCTCTGCTCCCCGTCTCTGGAATTCTCTCCTTCAAGCCATCTGTAACTCTGATTCGCTCTCCTCCTTTAAATCTGGACTCAAAACCCACTTGTTTCAGAATGCATACTGCTAGTGTCACATTTTCCATCCTCATTGATTTTATTATCTAGTTTGTATTTTTAGGCTTCTGTGTGTGATTTTTGCTGTTTTTAACTTGATTTCTTTGTTGTTATTTTATTGCTGTAAATTGTCCTTGTGTCCCTTGAAAGGCACTTTTAAATAAAATGCATTATTATCATTATTATTATTTATATTAAACCTGCAACCCTCATGCAGTGAAGCAATAGTGCTACCACCATGTGGTCCTATATGAACACAAATCCTCAGGTGGAGCTTCTGCTTCCCTGACTTGGTGGAAATTGGCAAGATCTCTGCAGAAACCAGGAAAGTCATATCTGTTTGGGTTGCTTTTTGAGGAATTTGAGGAGATAATTACAAATGTTTGGTTTCAGCTCCTGATAGATATTCATGCTAATCCTACCGAATGTCTGCAGGCCGCAGAGATAACATGTTGCAATCTTACCACCAAAGAGATTTTTTGGGGGTGTTCCCAAACTTACTCCTTTTACAAGCAGTTTTCCTCTCCACAGCTGCACTCTTGTGATGAGTTGAAATAAACACATCACAGTTGAGCAAACATTAGAAAATGATCCTGGAGAAATTCAGCATTTTATTGGTGTTTTCTCAACAATAGTGAAACAGTCACGTTTGGATATTTGAAAATAACCAGTTGAGTTTTTCTCTGTTAAAATCTGCATCACAAGATAAGAAAAGGTGAGAAATTCTGTATCAGAATGGTTATTCAGGGATGTTAATCTGTAAAAGAAAACTTGAGTTTTTAGGCTTAGTAAGGAAAATAAGAATTTAAAAAGGTCTCGACAAAATTTCTAATCCAACAAAATGTCTAATGAAATAAAATTTCTTTTTTTTTTTAGTTAAAACAAAACAAACCTTTCAAGTAGCCTTGTAACTTATATACTACTATTCATTTAATATATATTAAACTCTAAATCAACAGATTTAGGAAAACAATTTGAAATATTACAGAATAAAAAAATGACTAAAACATTAGATCACGAACAAGCGGAGCTAATAAACTGAGTTTTGAGTTCTGAAGCTTTGTCTCTTTTACTTTGAAGTAAAAATCAAATAAACTTTTATTTTTAACTATAGGTCCACATTATGAGTCACTGTTCATAATAAACTGAAAAAGAGTCTGTCTACAGTTTCATAATGAAGACTTTGCAGCTCCACATAAAACACATGCCACTGAGGATGCTGGGTAATTGGACCCAACTCTTTTCTAAACATCGTGTCAGCGAGCTACAGCCTGAAAAGCCTGTTTACTGTGTTTTGTTTGCTGTTGAATTACCAAGCCTGACATAGTAAACAATTAGAGGGAAATTCTGTCACATTAGCAGCTGAGAAAAAAAAAACAGATCCTAATCTTAACCCCACACGTGGGCCTAATCCAGCAGATCCTACCCATGTTAAAATGACCCACCGCCCTGCAGCTGCAGCAGCCACAGACAAGCTCTGACTTGTTTCTTCATCACAGCTGACAGATTAAGATCCTCAAGACCTTGTTTCCTTTAACATTAATAGAACAGAAAAAGAAACTTATATCCTGTAAAATCCCCACATTCTTGCAGAGTGACACAAAAATCTCAGTTTCTTTATCAAATAATGAATAAATCTAATCTGAATTAAATACAAACACTCAGACCGTATAACTGTTTTCATTTGTAAAATAATCAGTAATAATCCATCACCTCTAATTCACATAGTAGGTAAAGTTTACTCTTAACCTGAAATCAGGACTGATTTAATCCTGGTTCGAAGGCTTTCTGATGGACGTCAACAAAGGCTTAAACCCTAAACCTCCTTAAAGGAAGATTAACATTCATGAATACAGTTTGACATCTGTGTCAACCTTTTGATTGCGGGGCGAGCACTTAATTCCTGTGCCACCATACTGAAAACATCTGTTTCAGAGGCTTTAAGCATCATTGTAAAGATGATGCAGTAATCATTCTGATGCGTCAACAATTAAATGTTGTGTTTATTCTGTAAAATCAAAGGGGAACTAGGCAGTTTTGGCTTAGCACCCCCTAGTGTGCATTTGTCTTACCAACACCAGCTGAAATGTCTCCCCAGCCTTCATTGGTGTCTACAGGAGTGATTCATCACTAAATGAAAGAAATCAGCTGTGTTCATGGTCTAAAACATGCAGGAAACATGCTGGAAGCAGACTGCAGTGCCAGGTATGTCAGAGCAGCCCACCAGTCTGGCCACAGGAGGTGATGGGGGCTGGATGGCCTTTCATTAATTCTGTAAAGAGTCATTTTATCAAACACTGACTCAAGAAAATGATTTAAAAATATGAAAACATTGCTAAGTATCCCTATAAATATATATATTTAGAGTTTATATGAACAAAAGAACTTTACATTCAAGCTTAATGAGACGTTAAGTTCTTAATGTTGCTGTAGCATGGATTTATATTTAGATGCTGTGTTATTAACAGGATACCATTAGTTAAGCCGAAGTAAAATCCCAAAATATAACTTTACTTACAAAATTATGTGGAAGTCATGCCTTATCTGGGTTATCTGAACACTCCTGATTATTTCTGTTTGAATGTAGAGACCTCACAGAGTTTTCCACGATGACCCTCCAGTTCCCCTGTGAAGTCTGGCCTGGGAAAGACTCGGATCTGCTCTGACATCACGGCATCCCTTTCAAATCAGCTGCCTGACTCACCTCACATGACACTTCTGTCTGCTGAGAAGCTGTTTTTAAAGTCACTGCTAGGTTTTAGTGTCTCTTTGACAAATAAAATCAGTTTAGAATTGATTTAAATAAGTAAAAGTATCTTTATGTTCACCAATATCTAACTAAACTGCATCTAAAACCACATGATGCACTCTGCAAGTGGAAAATCTATTTAAATCTCTGAAACATTATACCTCTGTTGGAGATGGCTGCTGTGAGAACACTGCGTGTATTACGTGATCTGAAGCGCCGCTCTATATTTAACAAATCATGGGGTTCGCTGTGCTGCATGCAAACGGAGAACGCCCACCAGAGTGGACACGAGGCGGTTCTGCTGAGACTTCCTCGACCTCTGTGGACCCGGGTTGCAGCTGGAGCGGGACAGGTAGGAACCTGTGTGGGTTCGCATTAAACACACGCCAATTAAAAACATTAAAACACAATATTTCATGTTTTTATCCTAAATCATGAAACTCCTTCGGTGACAGCAAATAGATTATTGAAAACTGAGCAAAAAGGCTGTTGCAGCATAAATCATACCAATAAAAACAAGATAGCAGATATTGTGCAATTAAACTTAAATGAGTGCATTTTACTCTTGCATGAATGTAATCGTTTGCTGGTGTAGTAAACATGTCAGTTTAAGATTTCACCGTGACGGGAGAAAAGTGTACATTATTAATCTAGTCCTCCGTCACTATTTAATTACTGTAAATACAAAATCAGTGGAGGCATTTTTAATCTAACCATCTTGACAATGCTGCTGAAGTTCAAATTTGATTTTTGTTATGTTTATCTTATTGTTTATATGTTTTATTTGTTTTTATTTTGAATGAAATAAATGAAAAAAGAAAATAGAAGTTCAGACGTTTGCATAAACAAACAGGAAACTCACCTCTTGGACTTGGATTCTTCTCTTTTGCAGATTCCTTGTGCATATTTGCAGGTTGTCATGTGTTTTTATGTATTTAATTTGTTAAATGACTAGTTTCACAAGCTAATTTGGTCCGTGTTTTAAATGTGAAACTGTGCGTCTCAAATTGACTAGAATAGTTTGATCCACAGAGGAGTTTTTAGTGCAAGGTGCCCAAAATCATCACACCCCCACCACCGTGCGGTTTGTGGTGACATTCTGTTTATAAGGGTTATGCTCATTGTCTTTTCTCTCAGAATGCTCCAGAGGTTGGAGTTAAGCTTTGCTGATCAAAGCTGTGCGTTTTTAGTGTCGTTCTATTGGTGAGCCTTCCTCACTATGTGTTCAGCCATTTTGAATCTTAACCTGAGCTTTAGTATCTAACGTGTTGCAGTTTTAGACTGTGGCGACTCAGCTTAACCTTTGTTAGACATTCACTCATGACCAGCTTGGCTGCTGTTTTCATGAGTTTAAATAATCTTTATTAATTTGGGATGAATTGAAAACACACTCATATCCCTTCGCAGATTAATGCACAGCATTGTTGCTCACATCACCTGATGGGCGACGGTGGCTCAGGAGTTAGGAGTTCACCCACTTTTGATTTTTATTGATTCCCAAATTCCTCAAACTAATGCCTCTACTCTTATCTTACAGTTTGCACTGAGCCTAAACCCAAATGGATGACTTTGAATACAGCGTGGAGATCGGAGACCGAGACTGGGAGTCTTTCTTTGCAGTGTGTGAGGAGTGTGATCTACTTCCTCCTAAACTGGCAGGCGTGGATGATTCAGGGATGAGTGACATCGATGACCCCTTTCTTCCTCAGAGGGTGCAGAGATGTGACTCAACGCTGGACTTCTCAGAACAGGGCACTCCCCCTGACTGTCATGGGTCTCCTACAGGGAAACAAGGGCTCTGCGGTCTTGACAGTGTCCTTTCTGGTAGTGAGGAGGACATACACATGCAGTCTATCAATATGTTTTTTGAAAGGCTGAAAGGTCTCACAGATGTTCAACCAAGTCAGGGGCGAACCAGACACAAGAGAGAGACGAAACAAGAGGAGGAACATTGGGGTGAAGGGCAACAGACCAGCATAAGGGCTTTTCCAATGAACTGTGCTAAGTTGAACACTGGTGCAGTTGGCAAAGAGAGCCCTAAGCCTGTCGACACCTTCATGAACCTAAACACAACGGTAAGATGTGAAGCTGAGCGCAGCGTTTCCTCAAAACCTGCAACACGCTGTGATTCTGCGCCTGTTATTTGCAAATCAGCTGAAAAAGAGTTGTTCATTAAAAAGGAAGCTTTAAAGGAAGCTTTAGTGAAAGAGATAACACACAGGAGTCCATCTCATCGCTCAACAGAGAGGGGTGTTTGCTCAGAAATGACACCTCAGTCCTACAAACTGGAAACGTGCAAAGGTATGGACGATGTTCACCAGGAAAGTCAGGAAGTTCTCAGCAAAAAGAACAGGATGAGGGAGGACCATGTCCCCACCCACAAGTTGTCTCCATCCGTTTTTCTGAGGAGAAAGAGGAGAAAAAGAAGACCGCTCAGCGTGGAGGCAGATGGAGATGAGAAGGTGCGTGAAAGCCACGTTTCAGTCAAGAATGACTCAAAAGAAGAGCTGCAAGTGCCAAGAAAAGAAGAATGTCAGAGTTTATCTCTTAATTACTTAAGAGAAACACAAAAATGCTGCAAGTGTCTGTACAGTTTCAGCCCATCTACCAGAAACTTCACAGCACAGGATGCAGAGAATGAGCCCCCAGGAGAAACTCTGCACAGAAGATCCACAGAAACAAGTGATAAGCCCAGATCTGAAACCCGTCTGAGTCCAAGTGAAGATCATCTGATGTCTGCAGCAGGCAACGGCGCTAATGAGGCAGCAAGTTCACAGCCATGCTGCAAAGTGCAGCCTACAGAACCAGCTGGAAGGAGTCAGAAACAGGAAGTAAAAGGAGACGATCTCCAGGAGTCTGACCAAACAACAGCTTCTGTCTTCGAATGTGTAAAGGAACAAAATCTGAAACATTCAACATCAGAGGTCAAAAGAGTGAGTCTTGATTTAAAATCATGTGCTCCTGTTGTGGATGTCGGCCAGAACGACAACCTATCCGCTACTAACTCAGTCCTGGCTGCAGGGGATGGAAATTCTGTCAGAGACGAGCGCGCCCTGCGTCAGAGCGAGGCTGAGTCCCAACAACAGCTGGAAAATGACACAAATCATTTTCACACTGCTCGCCTTTCTGAGGCTGCAGCTGATGGAATCACCTCTCACTTGAGCACGCGTCCATTCCTGTATGAGAATTCAAATAAAAATATCTGCTCGGAATCAAATGTTAAGCATTCACCTTTAGGCAGTTTGTCCAACTATCCATCTGAAAAGACAGAAACGATTAAGGATCGTCTCACAGAGGCACAAACTTCTGATGTTTTATCAGAAAACGATAAAAAAGTGGAAAGGACTCCAGTAGCATTAATATTAGATTTAACAAGCCAGAGTAAACATTTACCAGAAAATCCTCTCGATGTCACACCTGTGCCACCTCACACTGACAAGCCCACAGAAGTACCGCAAAGGCTACGTTCACCCGTCATGGAACATGAGTCTGCCCAAGAAAAACAAAAAGCACAGATTATGGCAAAACACGACAAAGATGATAGATCTGCACCCTCAAACCAAACAGAATCAATTAACAATTTAATAAGTGAAGCTGAAGAAACCATCTCAGCATCTAAAGATGGACACCCACCTGAAAATTCCGTGTTTGCCATGTCGTCGTTTTGGAATGAGATGGAGAAGCTGACCATAAACGATATTCTTGGGTTGAGACAAATCTGTAAGGCTGCTCCACTTGGACCCCTCCCATGTCTGCAGGAAAGGGAAAAGACGGAGGTGATGGATGTGGTGGATTCAGACAACTTGACTGAATTAAAGTCTGAACAAATCACAGAAGAAATGACTGATTCATCCTCTTTAAGAGGCAGCTGGGAGAGCGAGCTCGCCGGAGTGGGCCGGATTTCTTATTTTCATCCTGAGCCTGGCGTGTTAGCTTCTGTTTCAGACACATACCAACCTGTCCTGAATGAAAAGGCTCAGAAATGTCTCAGAAAGATCTCAAAAACTGTCAGTGTGCACAACTTGCAGGCTCTGGATTCTCCGGCTTTTAGCTACAGGTGCCAAAAGGAAACTATACAAATCTTAGAAGAACAGAAGTCTGAAGAATCCAGTCATCTCACTGAGAAGACTTCAGCAAATAAATCTACAGATCATTTTCTGTCGTCCTCCTCCACAGACAGCTACAGCTTCTCTTTTACGGATATTATTCAGTACTTCTTTGGAGGAAAGCAGTCAGTTTCCAGCCAATCAGCCCCAGATGATGCAACCACCCACCTCAGTGGAACCTCAGTTCCTGAAACTTACGATGATTTCTTCTCAGAGTTTGATAGCGAGAGCTTCTTCTACCCATTCATAACGGCAGAGGAGCAAAACAAAGACAAGCCAGTTCCAATATTCTCCTGCTCTCGCTCCACTAGTAGAACCCTGCAGTTCCCAGATGCCTATGAGCATTTCTTTGCATCTTCCTCATCTGATGACTCTTCAGTGGAGTCTGAAGAAGAAGAAGCCTCCATCCCAGTGAGGGTGGTGAGCAGGTTCACTCGTAAAGCCAGCACTGCTCAGCTTTGCAAAGACTCATATGAAGATTTCTTCACAGACAAGGACCTCAGAGAGGACTTCTTCTCTTTACAGTCACTCTCCTTCAGGAAAATTCATTTATCTGCACCGACGGTCCAGAATCAGAACTCACTTGTGCCTTTGAGGCAGAGTTCCCAATACATGCTGAAGATGGAGTCTCGCCTCAACGTGCTGGGACATCCAGATGTGATGTTTCCTGATCCTCTGCTCTACAACTTGGAGGACAGGATCTCCAAGCAGCTGGCTCTGCCATCTTTCAGATCTGAAAACCTGCAGGTGTCAGATCCAAGTAAGTGGTTCAAACATATTAAGATCAATAACGGCTAATGACTTATAAACAAAGTTTACACGAGTCACATCTGCGTGACCAGAAAGAACAGCCAAAATGTGCAGCACTTTAAATTGAGACCGTTTGAAGCAAACTTCACTGATCAGCGGTGATTTATTATAATAGATGATGGTTGGTATTTATGGAACCCATTTCTGGCATCATACGTGTTAAACATGTGTGGCGTGTTCAGGTCAGCTTGTTTAGTTTCCCCTCATGTGGACGCTTGTACCTGCTCAGCTCCGACGGTCACGACCAGGATGGATTGTCTTTCCTCAGCTGTCAGATGACTCTGCAGGAACGTAGAGCTACAGCCAACGGGAGAGACTAGCAATGACCAACAAGCGTCTCCTCTGAACTGCCAGCAGAGGACCTTATTTTATGTTTTGGGAAATCAAAATATCTCAGTTTGTCTAAATTTGCCTTAAATTCCTTGAATTCAAACTGATCAGTGCAGCATCTGAGCGGGCTAACTTTTAGAATGAAAAGCACCAACCAGTTCTGTATGTCTGCGTCCACAGTTAGTGCAGCACAGCTTCTGCCAAACAAAGACCACCTGAGTTCCTGATAACATCTTTAATTTGAATGAGTAACTGAAACACTAAAGTGTTTTCTCTTGGTTTCAGGGTTAGACGCCCCGTTCCTGCCTCTAAAGCAGTCAGATATGTGTCTGGTTTGTATCGCCTTTGCTTCCTGGGTGCTTAAAACTGCAAACCCACAGGTTGGAGATACCTGGAAGGCTGGTACGTATGTCGGCACAGTACCATTTCATAATGTGCTTCATTATTAAAGAATAAAACAACAAACTTTGCATTTTAAAGTTTGTAATTTGAGCCACATATTTAACCCTCAATTTGACTGATAAAACTAAAAAACAAACTTTTCCACAAACCAAATAAGAACAAGGAGTTCACTTTGAAACACATTCTGTTGTTTGTGTTTCCACACAGTTCTGCTGGCAAACGTTAGTGCTCTGTCTGCCATCAGATACCTGCGTAAGTACATCAGAGCTGAAGCTGTGACCAGCGAGATGAAACCTCCTCAAAATACGCTGGCAAATTCCTGATCTTTCATTCTCTTTTAATGAACCTCTACATGACCCCAATCTTTGGAGGAAACATTTATGTTTAGCCATTTTTGCACTGAGAAAACTTTTCTTATGTTTCATTGATAGTTTCATTAAAATTGTTGCTACATTTGAGGTGATTTTAAGTCTCTTTATTATCTGAAAGCATTAATATGAGATGTAAAAATGAACAAAGGTGGCTAGATTTGTGTTGGCTTTGTAAATAATGTTCAGTTTGTTCTGTAGGAGGATCAAAAGCAGGTTAGTAAAGGTGGGATGATAGAGGAATGTAAAATAAAAAAATTTACTTAACGCATTTTAAATTTTCAAATGAGTTCTTTGTTGTTGTTTTTTGTGTATTGTGTGCTTTTATTTTGAAGTTCCTAAAACATTCTCTAAAATATGGCCTTTTTTTTCAATTTTCCTTAAAAAGAACAATTTGAGTGCCGTCATTCAGGGATCTGGTAAATTATGTGAAAAGGCATTTTGTATTTTAATCATGAGACTGTGGAACCTTAGCCTGGACTGCCAGACTCATCCTCTGTTTAATTCTACACAGAGAACCAATGCTGCCCATAAGGAAGCATGGGGCTGGCTGGTGGAAACTTGAGTTTTCTTCTCTTTCAAAATAACTAAGATTGCAGTGAACTACTATGACCACTAGAGGGAGACAGAAGACCAGAGGTATTGAAAAAGCTTGAACTGTAATCCAAAAGCAAAAAGAAGCTGTGGGAAATAGATCAGAATTAACTAAATGCCTAATTTTAAACTTGGATAAGCTAAATATTTTTGGTGTTTATTCCGTAAAAAGTTAATTAGGAATAAAAAAATAAACATGACAAAGTTAAACCTGGCTGAATTTTGTTCATTTGATAAGAATATCAATAACATGAACCCAGCAATTGTTTTTTTTTTCATCTTTTATGGTTATAACTTATTTTCTGTCTATTGATCTGAAAATCCGAATAATGATATAAAATGTTATTTTCCATCAGGTGGAGGGTCAGTGAAGCCAAACAATGTATTTTGAAAGCAAAAAGGAAAATGAGGTTTAATGAAGGTAGGGGTCAGGTTGCAAATACCTTTTAGTTTGGAAGAGAAGGAACAATATCAAAAAGGACTAAAAAAATGTTCAGGGAGTTCCCAACTATAACAATATGTTTATTAAAACGTTAAATATTTGAATTACTTTATAAGAGTCCTCCTTCAGTGTTTTCTTTAATCTTAGCCTCCGTGTTTATCTAATTCTATCTAATTATTAGAAATTATCTCATAATTATGATACGCTTGCGTGTGTGTGTGTGTGTGTGTGTGTGTGTGTGTGTGTGTGTGTGTGTGTGTGTGTGTGTGTGTGTGTGTGTGTGTGTGTGTGTGTGTTTACTATCTTGTAATTATAACTATAATAGTTTTATATCTGACATTGTTGAGAAATTGAAAACTTGTGCCAGTCAAATTTTGTAATTATTTTATATTACCTATTAATAACCTAATTTTAGTTATTAAGAGCAAAATCCCTTCTAAACCGTGTGCTCATAAAGTCTCCATGAGGAGAAACAGTTTCTATCCAGCTTTGTGAGACATGATGATTACGGTTTCTTGTTTTCTA